TCCGCGTCCTCAGTTTCTGTAAAATCTCATACAACTTTGCTGCTGCTCTTTCGGTGGTGATTCCGGTGAGTTTTCCCCGCTGGTGGTGGAAAATGGCAGGGAAAATATTGTTGCTGCCAGCGTAATTGGCAGGATATTAGCAGGCAGAGCAGGGCAGAGCAACCCCTGTCCTGCGGCCCAGTCAACGGATTACGTCGGGCATTATGAGCAAATTAAGTGTGAAGTGGCATTTGGGATTTATACCGGGCACTAAGCGCTTTAAAATCGAAGAGGACCAAAACTAACAGAACAGTACGCACAAAAGGTGTCACATGTCAAGCATTGCGAGTCACTCGCCTTCGTCGTCGGCCCAAAAACAAACTAACACTTAACCCCAAGAAAGGACATTCTCCACGCGTAGGACACGCACTTGATCCGCCCACTCAAGGACGAGCTTATCATTTACACTTAACGCTCGGCATTGCGGCATTGCGGCATTGCGGCACGTGCCGCTGCATTATTAACCGCAAAATGCTCATAAAGGATCAATTTGTGCGCACACGTGTCCAGGATAATGCACATAAATCAAAGCAACGGCTGCCGAATGGACAAAGGCCTGATGACAGTCCGCGGAAAATCTGGGATGTGGGCTATTACCATCCACCCACTGCACTTGGGCCCAAGGATATGCAGTTTAGAGCGGCCCAAGGAAGCCATTAGAAATGCAAAGGACCTTCGGGCGCGGATGTGCGAGCCACCGGAAGTAACCAGAATTTATGGCCTCGCGAAGGACTGCGGAGGTTACACCTCTCGGAAACCCATTCAATTCGCCGGCAAGGAGATAAATGGCCAGCATTTGTCACAGATTGTGTTGGTTTTAACGCTAGCATTTGATTTCCAGACCTAAATCGCTCATTAATGTTGCAATGCTTTCAATGTTTTCATTTGTTCCAATCTCGAAAGTTAGGAGCTCAGTCATTGTTACTTTATTGGAATAATTTGTAGGCTTAAATGGCTGTACGTATTTTTTTTAAATTTTATAAACATTCGAAACCCTTAAAAATCCGCAAAGCACCTCGGCAAATAATTTGCATAACTACAGACGGCGAAGGCATATAAATCTCCCATATGCTTTCTATTTAGCTTTTACTAAAGACTTCCGACACATTTCTGCGCCGGCCAATTTGCCAGGCGATTCCCCCGGATTCCCGGATCCCCGGATCCCCGGATTCCCTGGCCTGCAGCCGCTTTCAACACCTACACACCAGTGGCTCCCAGGCCCAGTTGCACTGCCCATGGCGATGACGATGGCGATGGCGATGGCGATGGCGATGGCGTGACTGGGCTCCATTTGGCCCAGAAGTCCGGGAAAGTGGCCCAGAGTGGCCGGGCCGGTTGTCTGCGGCCCTCGAGGCTTGTAACTTATCTAAATGCACACAATTATTGAATATAATCGCCACCCAGGAGGCAAACGCCAAGGGAGCGAAAACAAACACGTGGAATTTTGCATGCCGCCTTTTAGGCGTTCCTGCGCTTCGCCAATCGGGGAAAATGGGGGAAAATCGGGAAAATCGGGAAAATAGGCGAAAAGCCGACAGCGGGTTGTCCTGATACAGCCCCTGATTAGATGCTATATAACAAACATTTATTTTTTATTTAAAATATATCATTGAGTTCATTTTTACAGCCAGCACAAAGAGATGCAGATTGACAAGATGGTTACTCAAAACTAAATAACTCAAAATCTAATCAAAATGAAAACGAATTCTTGCCAGAAGACTGCATAGCAAATATGCCCTCCAGACGCTCTCATTTTCATTCAGAGGTCAGGCGATTAAAGTGGCAAAACACGGTAATAAGAAACCTGGACTCACAGAGCTAATTCTCGGATTTTCGCGTTCTCTGCTCTGCAAAAGCCATGACCAAGTTCAATTACGCCAACAAAGCGATGGGAGCCGAGCAGGGAATAACAAACATTTTGCAATTATCAGGCAAATATTTATTTAAGCGCAATTATCCGAACACGAACTGAAAAAAGGCGACAGATAAAACGGGCAAAAATCAAATGAGAAACGCAACTTGCTGGCAATTAAGCGCAATTTCCGTTCGCTGTCCAATGATTATTTAAAATGCAATCTATATATAAAAATCGGCGTGTGCGAGCGTAAATAGTTAATGAAGCCATGGCAAAATGTGACAAATTAAACAGAACGGAGATTAACTCCCCCAAACCATTTGTTACAAGAATCTGGATCCGAATCGGGAATAAAATCAGAATTAAATTAAATAAACAGCAAACACAAGCCACTTATTAATGGCATATGTCCAGTGTCACCTGCGCAAAAATCAACAAAAAGCGGGAGACAAGCATAAAAAACCAGCGAATGGAAATAAAAAACCGAATCAAAGGTAAAAAACAAGAGTGCAAATTAAACACAAACAAAGTTGATTTCCCATTCCTGCGAGCATAGGCTTTTAATTTCGTTGCCATTTTATTTGTAAATTACACATTTCGCCGAACGAAAATTGCAGGTGGAATGCATTGAGTGGGTTGAAGGCCGGCCACATCCGTTCGCCATTTTCGGGGGAAAATCCGCGAATCGTGGGCGTTCTTCCGGTCCGCTCGTCCAGCCTTTCTTCGCTTTCTGCTTTCTCTTTTTCTGCCCGGTGTTTGCTCGGCAAAATGTTAAGTTTTCGGAGGAAATTGGGCTGAACGGGCGAGATACGTGTGGCGAAGTAATTATAAAAAATCAATGTTGCAAGGGGTGGATTGCAGCAAAATGTGGCAGTTCAAAGCACTTAGTTGATCAGTTTCCCCTCATTTCCAATATGCAATCACGTTTCCTTTTCTTTACTTAGCTTGAAAAGCTGAATATATGATAACATAGATAATTAATATATATCATATGCAAATATGTATAAGAGAAAATCTTTTTTAATGTTCACCACTTTTTTGTTAGTTTACCATATATGAAAACATTTCAATAATCAAGCATTTCAAGTCGGTAATAAGAAGTTTAGAAAATACAATCTAATCAGTTTACTAACATATTTTTTTTGTCATTTTGAAATTAGTAAGATCTGAATTCTAGCCAGCACATAAAGCACTAAGGAAACGCAAGTTCAGAGTATCTACAAGATATCCCCGTCTGCGGCATCTTTCTGCCATCCACTCCCATTTGATTCATCCACCCTGCTGTGCTGATTGGCTGCTTAAGCGAATTGTGGTGGCTGCAGGATGTGGATGAGGATGAGGATGAGGATGACGATGGTGTGGACCACCCACAAAAATGTGCGGCTAATTGGATGTCTATATGCGAGGATGGCGGCCATGTGTGGCAGGTACTTTGACAGTCGGCGCCTGATTTCCATGCAAATTGGTTACAGCACAGTAAGCAGGCAATATTTCTGCTTCATTTCATAAATGCGTCCGGGGTCGACGCCTCCAGTCCGCCAATCCCCCAATGGCTGCCTTCCAGCTCTTTGGATTCCATGAGTTTGCATATCAAACGCCTGATGATGCGTCTTTAATTTATACATGAGTCCGCAGCCAATTTCTTGTTTACTTACGAAATTTATAAACGAAATGCTGGCGAATCAAAAATGGAGTTCACAAAAGTAGGATGCAATAAATCTGACATAAGGCTGTGTGATCAGTATTATCATAAAGAGTCAACAGCAGAGTTTTTCTTATTTTCTTATTAGCTCTGATGTTTGCAAGTTTTTCATTTTATTGCTGGCCGTATTGTCAAGCATCTGAATGAACTGAAAACTGAAACAACGGTCGTGTTTAATTGAGTGGGACGGCGATAGCGGAGGGAAAGAGATCGAGCGATCGGTACGTGCAGTTTGTGTTTTGTGTCATTTGTCTTTAATGAACGGTTGCCCGCTGGCCACCGTCGTGTTTTTGTTGTCATTTCGTTGTCCTGCCAAGCGTCTCTTTTGTTTTAGGCCAACTGCAATTTAAACATTGCGGCCAATTTGTCGATGAAGGCGCAAAAACACAAACACAAGAAACTCGAAACCCCAGAACACGCGTGCTGCCAGCAAAAACGCAGTGCAGGGGTGTCCCAAAGTTCACTAGAAATAAGGTCCACTCCCGAATACCCTACCAAGAAGGATGCCTGGCTTGTGCAACTAAGTGAATCGAGATACTAACTAATAATGTTCTATGTATCAGCAGAGTTTATATTACACTTCATTTACCATGAATGATGCCCTATAAGTTAGGTGAATGATAAAAGTTAACTGCTAAACACTTTCAACATTTATTCAGAGACTGTGCGCTTGTGTGTAAGCAATATAATTTATAAAGAGTACCCAACTGTTGTGTAAAAAAGAAAGCGTGACCATTTGGAGTTCCGAATAGCAAGTGCCAGCATTTGGGAGGTTCTTCTTAGGAAACTCTCAAAAGCTTTTGTGATCTAGAATGTGCCCACCTTGCAGCACCCGTAATCCGTGGGCTCCATCTGCTATGTGCGGGGGTATGTGCCCCCTGGATTCTGCCAGCTGGCATATCCTTGGTCCTGGCCAGGACTTCAAGGATCGTTTGCTGGGCCTTCGCCTGCAGCGCCGCTTGCATGCGAGCACGCAATGCGAACATGGCCATAACCGCTCGAACTCGAAGCCCCTGGCGAGGGACGCCCCTGCTTTTGGCCAACTGGTAACTGGTAACTGGCAACTGGTAAGTGGTAACTGGTAACTGGTAACTGGTGACTGGTAACTGGTGACTGGTGGCCAACGGTGGCAGTTATTCAATATATCAACTTTTGGCCTAATAAATGCACTAATTGCGGTTAAATGCATTTTGCATGCAATTATTATCATTAGGGGTTGGCTCGCACGTCGTCGTATCACCCCCTTTTCCCTTCCCCCTTTCCTGCACCCCTCCCCCCCCCCCCCCCTCCCCCAACACATCGTTTGTAAATTGTTTCTGTTGGTCATTATATTAATTGCCCCGGGACACGTCCACTCACCTCCCCCACCCCCCTTCGATGGAATCCCCGCAGAACGATTGCTCTATTTTCACATTCTGTTATTTTTTATTTAGACAAAAAAATATGCGGTTAAATGTACTTTACATTTTACAGTTACAACGTTCATGGGTCTAGGCTACCGACAAAAAAAAATTGGTTTATTCGATAATACATTTCGTGGTTAGGCTTAGCTATACAAAATTATTTTGCTTTTTTGGCTGCTAGTTTTTACAACATTTAAATAAATATTTGCTTAGTAATACTTTATCTTATATGGAAAAAAAACCTTTAAAAACATTTCGAATAAGTTACTAGAGCAAATCAAATAAATTAAGCACACACACAGAGACACGGGGCTATGAATATATACACACGCAGACACACGCACACACGCACACACACACACACACACACAAGCGGGGCTTAAGCTCTGGTTCAAAAACGCGAATTCTTGGGGATATTGATCTTTGACAAGTATTTTTTAGTATGTACCACGCACATGGTCGGTTCCATGGTTTACTTTTAAATACTGAGCACGTCTGTGCTATTTTTATGACCTAACCAATAGCTTGTTTAGATCGTAAGTTTATAAATGCCTCCAAATATATTTTTGTTAAACTTAAGCAAAATACCTTTGTACTAAGGTTGGAACCATGGAGAGAACGTGTGATATGGTGCAAGACTGATGCCACTTCGTCCAAATAACTTAAATGCCCTGTAAACTTATATGTTTCATGAAACAATTAGATATACAAAATGAGTGATATGTAACTTAAGTTCGAAAAGCCGAAATATGTAGTGTATGTATCCCCTAGAAAGTCGCACTTCTGAGACCGCCCAAGCCTGATGATAAGCACACGCACACAACCGCCGCACACTCCGGCGTACCGCTCACACCTGGATCTGATCCTCGTCATCCGACTGGGAACAGCTGTCGACGGATCGACCTGGCGGACTGCCCGGATTCAGCGTGGGACTGGGCGTCGATGGTGGCCTTGGCGGCGGCGAGGCGGATGCGGAATGGGCCGGAACCGGTTTCACCAGGCCGCTGGGCGGAGATGCTCCGCCCACCGAAGGTGTCGCCGCTGCCGGATGCGGTCCGCCCGGATTCGCAGCGGAGGCTGCCGCAGCGGCACTCTGATAGTAGCTGCTCAGCGAGGACAGCGAACTGGAGGCGGACAGGTGGGAGAAGGGCGCTGGACCCACGCCCACGCCCACCCCAACGCCCACTCCGACGGACGGAACGCCGGCGTACAGGTTGTAGGGCAGCGGCTTCTGCATGGCGGCCGCGGCGGCCGCTTGCCGGTAGTAGATGTCGATGTTCGTGTGGGGCGTGGCTCCGTGGGCGGCGCCGGCAGCGGCCGCATACGGCCAGGCGCCCAGGTAAGGTGATCCGCCGTAAAGTCGCTGGAAGGCCGCAAAGTTTCCGGCCTCCGCGAGGAGTTCCAGGCCCACTGCTGTTTGCCGCTTCCATTTGGTCCTGCAAAATGATATAAGACACCAAATTATTAGTTCGTTTTAAAAACAGATATATAAATATATTATAAGACAATAAAATCGAAAGTGAAAAGTGAAAGGAAATTCTAAAAATCAGTGCATTTAAAGACCCACCTGCGGTTTTGGTACCAAGTCTTCACCTGGCAATCGCTCAGGTCCAACTTGTGGGCCAGCTCCTGGCGCTCCTGAACGCTAAGGTACTTCTGCCGCTCGAAGGACTTCTCGAGCGTCTGCAGCTGGTGGTCCGTGAAAGCGGTACGCGCCTTCCGCTGCTTCTTGCTCAGACCGCTCATGTCGCTGGTGGAGCCGCTCTTGACACTGTTGCCATCGTCATCTTTGCCGCCTGAAAGGAAGGAGATGGAGGTGAGTATTTTTTTGAATATATTATGTCTAGTCTAATACTACATTTAGCAATCTAAGCTGTGCGTACTTGTACTACTCAGAAAGTTTGCCTATAATATTTAATAATACTTAGTAATGTACACAATAATAATAATATAAGCACCAAAAAATTTATTTTCCCCAATCCGTCAAAAAACGATCAGCGTTGGTAATTAGCTGCTCAAAACTGTCATTCTTTCGCCTTTTTTACAATTTTTATGGAAGTTATGATGAAAATTCCCCCCGAAAATATCAAATATTTGCCAAAAGTCGTTTTCCAATTTTCGGACATAAAATACTCCGTTTTTTGGCCACAAGTTTAAAAATAATTGTCTGAATATAGAATGGTATACCTCGCTGAGTTCGTAATTCAATTCCCAGTCGAACTGTGTTCAAAAATAGGAACTCTATTTTTTTGGCCATTTTTTGCAAATTTTGATGAAAGAAAATCCAAAAATCGAAAAAATTTTAATTTCCCAAATTCGTCAAAAAGTGATACAAAAAATACGAGAAATTAATTAATTAATATTTTCCAAGATAGTTCTTAGCAAAAATAGCAATTTCATGGTCATTTTGTGAGGCCCATGAGGCTAATTCGATTTAGATCTCTGCGCGATCTTTTAAAACAGTTGCCGTTACAGTTAGAGGCTCGTTTATGGCCACGCAATTGCCGCTTCCGCTCACAAAGCGGTTCGTGTGTGTAAGTGTAATAAAAACGTGCTGCAAAATGTCTAAACTTGCCACAAAAAGCCGCAAGAGAGATAGGCAAGCCGGCCAGGCCGAAGCACCCCTTTTTGCGAAAAGTGTTCTTGGCCAGAAAAGGTCGTTTTTCCACCTTTTCTGGCCAGCCATTTAGTACATAAAATTTATGTAAATTCAACCGATTGTGGTTACCCGATAAGCGAGAGCGAGTTTTTGGCCCATGGTCAGAAGGGGTTAAGGGGTTGGAGGGGAATTAGTAAACTCTCAAGCGTTAAATTATTTAAAGCGAAAACTTGCCAAGTGCCGCATTTAAATTTTGTCTACTTTGGTCTAACAGTATTTTTTTTTTGTTGCTTATGCCTAACTGATCAGGAAGCAGACAACTAATAATAATATCTATTTCAAGATCTTAGTCATTGCAAGTGAAATACCAAAAATTCAATATTCTTTTATTTATTGAAAATGTATTATTGGAAATCTTTTGGTTCTGTGTGTGCAATTGAACTTTGAAATATGAAACAAATTAAGATGCATTGCTAATTATTTATATTAATCATCGCTAATCAAGAGCTTATTCTGCCGCCAAGGCGAAAGTTGTTTACCATATAAATCGAAAACGATAAATGATTAATGGGAGCGATAAGTGAGCGATAATGCCGCAATTGAATAAAATTAATTTCCAATTAAAGAAAATTACTCACGAATGTTGGCGCCGACTTGCTGAATTATCGATTTGCGGCTGATAATTTGTGGAACATAAACAAGAGGCAAAACCAAAAATCAATAAATAAATGCCAAATAAAGTTGGGTAACATTGTTGTAAAAAATAAACTGTTATAATTGAAGCTCTCATTAATTATTTTTAAAAACAAATTTATAATTTCATTATAGATTTCAGGCAAAAAAAAGCTATATGCCTTTTTAATTCAAACTTTAACAAGTAACTTTCCTAACTGATTTTATTATGAATATAATTTTGTATTAATTTATAAATAAAATTCCAGTGGTCAATAATCATTTCGTTCTTTTTTTGCAACTGAAGCTGATCGCAATTGCGAAATTCCGATGAATTGACGGATTGCCGCCTTCCCTGCCCGCTGGCTGTCATCGCTGAGGAGCTGGCCGACGCGACTACCGTTTATAAAAGTGCAATTGGCAACAGGAAATTGCGGCAATAAATGGCACAGAACAGGGCCCAGATGGAGTGGTGAGTATGAGGAGCTGGCCAAAAGCGAAGTAAAACGAACCGAGTGGCGATGTGATGAGCAAACAGACTGCAACATTTTTTTGTTTGCTGCTGCCCGGCTGCCATTGCCATGGGGCGTCTATTAAAGCGGGTTAAATGCATTTTTATAACAATTTCCACAATTAAATGATTGCGAAGGGGCAGGTGCGTGAGATAAAAGGAGGCAGCAGGGCGAGCGGGGAAGCGAGGAAGCGGGGACAGTGAGTGCGATGTGTGTAATTATTTGAGATTTTTTCTGCGGCTGCGGCAGTTTTAAACTGCATTTTGTTGCTGCATTTCAGGCAGCTTCTCTCTTCTACCAACCCCCGCCCACTGCGGGCCCCGCCTTCATTCTGCCATAATAGCTCACAGTTCCCCAGGTGCATGCCCCCCAGCTGGAGAAGCGGCGAAGGGGCAAGGGGACTTTAGAAGCTTCGCAATGACGCAATCAAAGCGTGAAAATGCATTTTTTACAACTAAAACCACAACAAATACAAGCATCAAGAACGAGAATGTAAAATGGTCATGCAATAATTTTTACAGTTTGTTTTGCAAAGCGACATCGACGGGGGCCGACACCCCACCCCCCGCGCTCCACACTCGAGCCCCTGCTCTCCATTTTCAGGCGCACGCTTCCAAACAAAAGACTTAGGCAACGAACTTGACTGCTGCACAGCCGACTTGCTTATTTTTTACCTAATTGAATTACTTTTTTGATTGGCTATGATGAAATGCGTTTCACAACAGAACCATTAACACGACTTAAGGGGGAATTTGAGTAATTTTAATTTAAAGCTGCCTTTAAAGTGTAGTGAGAATTTGTTAAGTGCTAATACATTTAATATCACCCAAAGGCTAGAAGTCATAAAACAAAAAGCTTGTTAATGTGCTATTATTATTTTGAAAACTTGCGTTAAAATTTAAAAATGGCTAAGCTTAACAGACCTGCAAGTTTTCAATCTAGCTTAACAAAACAATTTGTAAGCAAGTGTTTTAAAAGAGTCAATATTAGTAAAATTGTAAAAATATATGAATTTTCAAAGGCAACAGGCCTTAATACATCCAAGTTCATTTTACAGTGTTAGCTTTATTTTACATTGACTGAACGATTTAAATATTTTCGATTGCAAGTTCTATTAAGTTCAGCCTTTATCTGCTTTGTTGAGTATAGGTTCAGTTTTGTTCCATTATTTGTTTAAAATTTAAAACACAGAGAGCTTGAATCGAGTAAGGAAAATTCCCGCCTTGGAATCCATTTTCGAATATTAACAAGAGTGCTTTCCTGACCCAAGACCGTCAACACCCCCATTCCCACCCCCACCCCCGCATAGTACAGAGGCTCACCTCACCATTGCTACAAACGCTGTGATCGTCCATGTTGCCGCTGTCGCAGTCCTCGTTCTCCTCGTGGTAATCGCTGCTGTCGTCCAGATCGCCACCCGCCGGTGGCGCCAGCCCCACCCCGCCGTCCACTCCCCCGTCGCCGGGTGGTGCGGCCACACCAGCAGCAGCTGCAGCAGCAGCAGCGGCGGCCGCTGCGGCAGCAGCTGCATTGTTGCGCGCAGCAGCCGCTGCAGCGGCATAGTGCTGTTGCATGGCCGCCGCATATTGAGCCACGTTCAACCCGTTGCCGCCGGCGGTGGGTGGAAAGTGCCCCAGCTTGCCGTGTGGATGCATCAGCGCGTGCGGATGTGTGTGCGGATGCGTGGGCGGATGCGGCTGTGGGTGGTGCAGGGCGGGTGGCAGCGCACCGACGCCAGCGACATTGGCTGGCTCACAGTTATCGCCGGTTGCATTGTTGTTGTTGCTGTGAGCGGGACTGCTGCCGCCGCTGGAGCCCGAGTTGTTGTTGTTGTTGTTGTGGTGGTGGTGGTGCAACTGCTGGTGGTGCTGCTGCTGCTTGTAGAACGCGGCCGCCGCGCTGCCCGCCAGAATGTCGTTGATCATGAAGCGGGATCGATTGGGCTTACCAATGCCCGAGGCGGTGGTGGTGCTGCCGCCGGAGGACATGGTGCTGGAGCTATGGATGCTGTGAGCCACCGCCGGTGGCTGCAGGCCGTAGTGGAGGTGGTGCTGGTGGTGCTGGTGGTGCTGCTGCTGCAGTGCACTGAGGTGGTGGTGCAGCTGGGGATGCGCTGCGTTTGGCTCGCTGGGCGTTTGGGTGAGTATGCTCATCGAGTCTTTCATAGGACTTAGGGGGTTTCACTCGTTCTCCCTTTGCTCGTCGAATATATGTACGAAATATATTTGCGTTCAACACTTCACCAAAAAAATTGCACATTCACTGGAGTTTGCTATAGCTGTCAAGTTTTCTTCTTTTTGGTCTTTGGCCTTATCTCAACTTTTCACCCAGCGACGTCGTGCGCGGCTTGGCTGCCAAAACGAGACTGAGCGTTTATGAAACGCACCTGCCCGAGCCGCCGCTGCCGCTGCCAACGCCGCTGCCGACGCCGGCTGCGGCTGCGGCTCGAGCGGCGGCTGTGGCAACAATTTTGCCACTTTGTCATAGGCGGTGGTTGGGCCGCGTATGCCACCGAAGGTCGGAAGGGGATGGCCAGTCGCTCGCGCTCGCTGCCTCTCGCTTCCGCGGCTATGGCCATCTCATCGGCTGCACCGCTCTCGCGCAGCGCCATGTTGCCGGCACCGCGGTGAATCCACCACGGCGTGGTGAAATAGAGGCTCTCCCCGGTTTCTCGCTTTTTATAGCACCAAATGTCGGTCAAATGGCTATGGAACTACGCTCTTGGGCTCTTGGGCTCTTCGGGGCCTTGAAAGTGGCTCAAAATGGCGCCACGAGGAAGTCGGTGGATCTGGGGGATGGAGACGGTGCTACTGAGCTTGGGGGACTACGGCGCTATTTGAAATATACTCTTTTTCGACCAAGAAATTGTTGAAAAATATCTACTCTGCTTTATTATCCCGAAAAAGCCATCCAAGTGGCATCATATCGCGTCAGATAATCATATTTTCATTCCTGAAATTAGGAAATAATTACAAAAATTTAATATCCAATTAAAATATTTTCGCTAGCAGAAGGTCAAAGAAAAAGTGTACCAATAATCGTATACCATTGAGCTTTAAAAATAGGTCAGCATAATACGATACGATTTAAACACGTTTTAAGCACTGCCCAAATGTGTTTGCTTTATATATTAAAACTTCAATTAACAGCAAAATGTTCGATCGCTGAGAAACCCTAAGATATTAGAGCCCCGACAAATGGGCGTCGCTTGCTTCGATTCCACGCTCACAGACAACAAGATGGCAATTAAAATTTCACGCCAATAGCCCGGTGGTTAGGGTCACCATTTGGTTGTGTCGGTGGCCACATGTTAGCCAAGGACTAATTGCAGGAAGGGAAGCGGAGCGGGATGAACAAATGCAATTTGTCGAGAGCGGCGGTTTCCGTTTGATTGATATTGATTCCGGTCGAGGAGCAGAACCGAACTGGAGAGAGCCGAGAGCGGAGGGGGGAAGGGGGGAGGGGGGAAAAGGTCAGGTGACCTGCGAAGGTCATTAGTGGCGGGGAAATTAGGGCGCCGGGGGCGGGGGTGAAGCGGACTGAAGCGCGCGCTTCAATTGCGGAGCGCATTAAAATAATTAGCGTCTGCCGTAGCATCAAATGCGAGGAAAAGTCAACCGAGTCCTTCGTCCTGATGACGGTTATTGCACTTAAATGCATATAATTGCCAGCCCAGTCACATATCCTGCGGTCTGCGGTCGATTCGAGTTCGAACTGCCAATGCCAATTGAATGCTTAAAATAATTGCACTCGACCAGCAATGCCAGCACTGAGAAAAATGCGCGCAGATTAGATTTGAATGCTAAAAGCAACGAAATAAACGCAACGAATACGGCTGAAATGAATTAGCTATAAAGTATAATATTTAAATGAAGTTAGCCCAGAATTTGCATTACATTTCGCTCAAATGGTTTAGTGTGCATTTAAATTTGGCAATTGTATTAGATGCACTTTCATGCCTTTTAAATGTGGACATACGAGCAAACGCAAGCAGCTACCCCATATTTTTTGTCCGTGCATCTGCGAGAAATTATGAAAAAGAAATGTACGAGTGCAGAAACCGCAATGCGCAGTTGTCCCAATGCCACATCCCCTTTGCTCCTCGATTACTGGACAGTTGCCAGCGAACTTGGACAGTTGGCAGCGTTTTTCCGGTCTCTTCTGCGAACTGGCTAACAGTTGTCCATGTGCAACCTTCTATCTCTCAGATACCTATCCACCCATCTATCTATCTTTGATCTTTCGATCTAACTATCTGCGTATCTGCGTATCTCGCCATCTGAAAGTCTCCTTAATTGGCTAATGTCCACCCATTGAATAGCTCTGTTTGCACTGCAAATATCCGCAGAAGAATTCTGCATCAATGGAGATGGAAAGTTGTTGTTGTTAGAACAAGAGATGCATATATAATACATTATTCCGAAAAACACACCAATTGTGCATATTCTCTGCAAATGTAAAAGGCTTGGGTTGCACTTCCTCATTTGTGCGTCCAATTTGAGCCGTTGCAACCCACATGCAGCACCAGCGATACTCAACTCCTGTCCAAGCTGATCCAGAGTACGACCATTTCCATTTCTGATCTGTTTCCGTGGAGTGGAGAGCCTGCGGGGCCTGTGGAATCTTAATCGGCATCTTTGATATTATAATGTTCGTGTTACTGCGTGGACAAACGTAATAAAATAACTGATCGTTGTCGCTGATAAGTTAATTTACTTTTAATGTGCTGCCCTCGCCGAGCCCTCGATCCCTCCACATCCAGATCCACATCCACATCCACATCCACGTCCACGTCCAGCGATCTTGCAACGTGGGGGTAAATGGGTTCGTCCGGAGGTGACAAAGGTTCTCGCTGGACTCCGAAGCTGGGGCTCTGCTTCAAGATCGACTGACTTGGCAGGGCTTTTATCTTTTTATTACCCAATACCCTGGCTGCGGGGTTCTCTACTCCCTAATAATATCCTAAAAGCTGAAATATATTGCAATCCTCAATCGATAATTAGATCAGTTTCGTTTGCGTAAATCAGCAATTACGTGAATATAATTATACCTTTTAGAAGCACTGTTTTTAATATAATTTTAATAATATGCCGCAGTAAATAAGCTCAGCTACTATTGCTAAAATAAATTTTAATTTGTTTCACACCATGTACCAAAGTTAGAGGGTATTTAAGCCTTCGTTACCCAACCTGTCGACTTGCTTGAGTTTGTTTGCCCTGTTTTATTTGGCTCTTGTTTTTGTTGGTCGCGTGTGCCGGCGATGGCCAACGTTGTTGCCAACTGATTTGTCAACAACGTGGCCAACAAAGGTGTTCTCCTGCCCCGCAACCCCCGTAAGCCCCTTGACCCCCTCCGCTCCTTAACCCCATGCCGCGCGGCGATTTATCGCTGCTCCAGATCAGTCAGCATGCCAGCTACAACAGCAACACAACTGCAGGATAAACATAAGCCCTGATTCCTAATTCTAGGCCCCCTCCTTTTCCCCCGACCCGCCTTCCATTTTCCGAGGCGGCGCTCGGTTTGAAAATTGATGTCGCCCCACTAAATAGATGCTATTTGAATTTTACTGCCTGCCGGCACCCATAAATCCAATGGAGGATTTCGATCTGGATGCCATGGGACCTCGAAGGGGCAAGAACGCCTCGAATCCGACTTCGATAGGTCCTCCCCCTTTTGGCACCTGTCCGGATTTGGGCTTTACTCGCTTTTTATGGCTCAGCTTAGGCTGGACGACTAATCAACACCTCGCGGCGATCGCACTCTGATTTGATTTCTGTTGATGCGGTTTGATATCTCAATCCTGATGGCAGAGTAATCCTTGAGAGGAGGGGTGGCTATAAAAAATTAACTGATTTCTTGAGGTTGAAGTAAAAACTGATGATGTGTAGCTTTGCTTATATAACCAATTTATATTTATTTAGAGTTCATGAATCATTCGTGTTAATTCGCAATACTCTTAGCTGTCAAGTCTTATTTTATTATATTTACACTCATTTTTTGAACTCGTGCCAAAACAAGGCACCTATCGCACTGCTCCACTGTATCTTTGAAATTTTCGTGTCCGATTTGTAGATAAACTAATGGTCCTTTCGCATACTTTGCTTATCTGCGGATGGGGCTGCTAATTAGGAGCGCAAGTTGGCTAAACGACGGACCAGGCGACATTTGCCACATTTGCATTGGCCATAAAAATATGCTTAAAGCATTTCCAAATGCAACCACTTAAATATCGAATGGCTCGAAACTGACGACGAAGTGAAAATGTATTTTATGACTCAATTTGGTGCACATAAAACGAACCACGGAAAAAACTGCAGGGGAAGGGGAATTTTTTGTGGCCTAACCATACAAAGTGCAACATTGTCTGGGGCAGCGATAAAGACAACCAAGGTGTGATCGCTAGCGATGGAAACGTGTTGGCAGAGGCCCTAAAATAGGTAATTCTGAAAGAATAAATAGCATCGCACTCGTAAAAAGTACTTCAACAAAGTATTCATAAGATAAGCAGCAGTTTTTGAACGGAGCAATATGCAAATCTAGTTCAATATCGCCTGCGAAGTCAACAGCGTTTTCGATATGTCTGATTAGCCACTCACGCTGCCATCTCTAGAACCCATATTGTTTGTGGCCACTGCAGTTCAATAGTTATTGCTGCCGCTCGGCTGATTGTTGTTAATTTTTATGTGCAATTAATCGGCTACGCCATTGAGCATTTATAAGCATTTCTCGCACCAACAGAGGCTGGAGAACTTGGCAACTGGCCAGGACGTGGGGGAACCTCTTCTTGCCGGTTCCCACTCGCCGAGTCGAAAGAGAAATTAAGTCGTTTTGAATTAAAGTGAAATGCAAAAAGCATCTTCGCCGGCAGGCCATGGGCCATAAAAAAACGGCAGCAAGACGGCCAAGACAACAATGTGGGGAATATATTGAATGCTGAATACTGCACAGAATACGGCAAGAGTGTTCCGTTGATGGGCCATAAAAGTGGGCAAGGTGTTGAAGTCGGGGCCAGCTGCTGACCGCTCATTGTCAGCGATCCGAAGGGTTGGCTCCCCGCGTTATGCGGATGCAGATGGATCCGATGTCCCGCTGCTCAGCCGCTTAGGATGATAAACTGACGAAAGCGGGAAAGGTTGGGCGGCTTAACTGGCAGGCCTCAAATATTTATGGGCACTTCATATTTGGTGGCATAATTAAGAGCGGCCTCATTAAATGGTGTTCCTATTTATATATCTTATGGTATACATATTCAAAAGTATTTCATTGCATTTCCAATATAATACCGTTTCAAGCGCCACTTCACATCCCAAATATTTTGACAGCCTTCTCATCCTTGGGCCAATGCAAATAGTGGCCACCCATTCGTCCTTG